TCGTATTTATATTTTTGACAACCACATCACTTTCGGTTTTTGGAATCATTATTATTTTGACGCACTATGAACATTTGCTTTAATGGTTTTCGATGTGTGCAGTAATCTATAAAACTACCATGAGAAGAGCAGGATCCTAATGATATTTGACAATCTCTTTTGTTTGGGTTTGTGAATTATGGATTGAAACAATCAGCTTTGTGACGGGTAAAAACCATCAGTGAGAATTCATATCGTCTATAATGAGGTGTTTATATGTCTGTTGGAAAGTTTAAACGTGGGGGGGGGGGGGGGAATAGATAGAGCTTGGGTGTAGGTGCGTTGGTATAGACCAGTTTTAATTAATGGAGATGTCGAGCTCACTTATAAAGACGGCTTGTGAATAAATAATTTAAACCACCATTTTTCAAATTTCCAAAAAGGTATTAACAGAAAATTAAAAACAAGCAAAACATTGATAATATGGAAAACACAAAGGGTCATCGGATTTGAATTTTCAATTAATCAATACCAGCTATAAGTTTCAAAGAAAAGCTTTGCCATTATCAATTTTAAATTTTCCAACAGAAGAGTTGAATGAAAAAGTTGTCATATCTGCCGACACTTCCCCCTTTGCGCGACTCCCTGCTGAGTGAATGCAACACAGGTACCTTAATATAGCTTATACAGCTAGCCACTATGCAGATAAATACCAGAAAGAGCCCCCATAGTACAGTAAAGTGCTGCTTCAAATTCTTCACAGCAAACTCATTCATGTTTATTGATTTTGCTCAGGGTTACAAATCAAAGCAATATATGATGAATAAGATCTAAAAACAAGCTAGTTCAACATTAATCGCAACGTCGATTGGCAGACACGCTCTCTCCTTCGCTCCAAATATAAAGTTGAATCGTTATTCATGACTAAAAACCTATGTTTACGCTTTCACCAGGGCCGTTAAATTTCGATTTTCCGATTTATTTCCGATAAAAATCAATGATGTCCATTTTGCCCTCATCGCAAGAATGTTTATGATTATGACCTCAAGCCATCATTAATTCAACAACGAAAATAGTACTTGTGTTTCAAGAAGTGCCTTTTGATCAATCTATCATTTAGAAAATATCAATAGTGGTTAAACCTTTTAAGGTAATGAAAACGGTCTTGTAGCAGACCTGTCTCGCTTCTTAGTCTTGTGAACTTTTCGTATATGGGCTGTCTGTCTGTCTCGTGAGCTGTAACCAAGAGAAAATTACATAGAACTGTCACATGTCATATAAATGAATTCATTATTAAAATTCTGCAACATTGTCATGATTGGCGTAATTCTCAATGTGGAATCATATGATATGCATATAAAGCTCGTGAATATTTTTAATGAATTTTTTTATTATTATTCTTTATTTCATTCTTCTCACTAAAAAATCATAGACAAATTGTTCCGTCAATATACAAATATTCTTCCGTTTACCTATCTTATAAGTTCATGTACTTGGACTTCTTTCCTTAGCAATTATTGACTATCAGACAATAGTTTTAGTTAAAAATTGGTATTAATAATGACTACTCTCTTTTCAGGTTTTAATTGAGAAAATGATCGTGACTTATTCCTTTGTTCAGTCTTTGAAAGAACCTATACACTGCTCCCATCTTATCAATGCTACATTGAATGTCTAAAATAGAAAGCCATAATTTGCTCGGTTTCTTCAATTTCCTGTGAAGTTCGTATGAGATTAAATCAGCATGATATGAACAAGATTGCTTATAATAAGCAATCTTGTTCTTCTGATGTTACACGCAACACAATAATTGTGTTGCGTGTAACATCAGAAGTACATATAAATCTACTTTTACTCATCTTTGATTGCACAGTTTTGTCGCTTAATAGACCTATCGTCTGGAATATGATCCCCAAAACTTATGACATGAAGGGTTTTCTTTGTCTTTTTTCCGTAGCAGCATGAAGACGAGTCACAAATGACTTTCTTTGTTGATTCATCCATTGACAAAGTTGTCATCGATATTATGTATTGGTTTCAGTTTAATATTACTCTGAGTTGAGCTGAAGTTTACAATTCACCTTACTAAATTCTACGCTATTGATGCAATCTTGTACTTTAACGTTTAAAAAAGTATAGAATGTAAATAAAAAGGATTTTTGGTATAATCTCGCTATACTTTTGTGGTGAAAGTGTTTGGTATCATCAACTATTATAGCGCATCATATACAATCTAAAGAGTTTATTACGACGTTGTTAATGGTTTTGTTATTACTATGACAACTAGTAATGCTCCGTGACCTTGCCAATGAACCCGATGATGTACACTGATTTCATCTTGTCTCTCTTTTTATTTGGCCTTTAAACGATTCCTCACATTATCTTTCTTTTAATGGGTACGTTAAGGAGAACTGCCTCCTCAACAGACTTGAATCCTATTTATCCTGAATCAATAATGCATGCTCCGGACTTGGTTGTCTATTTGCTCAAGAATTTTTCTGGTGATCTTGAGTTGGAAATTGGTTGCCACTTCAAGGGAGTAGGTCGTGTTTACTCGCCGACTTTTGGCGCGAACTCAAGCACGTGTTAAAAATGTCGAGCCATTCAAGTGATCTGTCGCCGGCTTTTTTGTGTTTTCTTTTTCCTTCCGACCTTTTCCGTGATTCTGTAACATTCGTGCTGTATTTCAGACATAAAATGGAGTGGAACAGATTTATTCCGAACTTTAACACAAATCTATAGTATATATTATCAGTATGGATTTATTATAATTTTCTTGAGACAAAATTTATTTAATGCAGCTCCTCCTGAACGTGATAGCCCACTAAATATGAGGACGAAAATGATTTAATTAGGCAAATGTAAACTTCCATAATTATAAGACTCCATTTGTTGTTATGAAGTCACTGTGCGCAATACATTCATTATAATTCGTTTATCATTCAATGCACGGCTTTCTTGCGAGATTTCTGCGGGAATTTGTTTAATGAGTTTACGAATCGATGGCAGATTCATGTTGGTAATCCAAGATAAAATCTGATAGCTCGTGGCGGAGACTATATTTTTTAGCCGATAGTATCAAAATCATGAATTTGTCACTTATCATGGTTTTGTGAAACGGGTTCTCGAATTCCTGACATCTCCGTACGTCGCTGACAAAGACTGTCATGTAGTTGGTTTCTTGAAACGACCCCCTTGCGTACAGTTTAAACATTACTTGACTCATAAAGGATTAAATAAGACTTTTATGTATCATGATTACAGTCAGCCCTATTTTAGAATGCACTCGATCCATATTGGACTCTTCCATGCAAATTTAAACTGTACCCAGGAGAACCTTGAATCAATTTGATGGAGTCGTGAAGAATTAAATTGAGATCTTGACTGGCCATGAAGTAGCACGTAAAACATGTTGTTTGTAATTGATGGATAGTACGGTAGGGTCGAAAATGAGCGTAGGACGAAGGATTGCTTTTCAAGATTTTCGACTCCTTGAGTGTGATATATGGTGAGGTGCTACATTTATTGGTTATAACTCAATGTACCCGGTGTTATTGGGCGCTGATACAGCCATAAATAAGTCTCGAGAATAAAGTAACTAATTATTAGACCAACTATAAGGGATTTTCCCTTTGAATTTGCTATACTGTGGTCACCAAACCATAAGACTTCATAACCAAGGACACTTGGACATGAAGTTGGCATTGACGGTTTAAATCAAAATACAGAGTGAAGGAGGATGACATCGAATTTATGATTATTTAGAGAAGATCACTAGCGTGATCTACCGTAGATGTTGAAGAACCAATAGTGTTATTGAGTATTTTATTCATTTAGTAGAGGATACACAACACAGGAGACCTAAGAATAAAAGACAATCAGGAGGAAACAGGAAACTTGGGAAGTCGGGGAAAATTGATCACCAATCAAGATGTATTGGAAAAAAGGATGAAGGTTTTAAAATTCCAAACCAAAATTGAATGACCCCACTGATTCCTCGTCATTACAAGAAAACACGCCTTAATAATCGCGATGTGATAGCAGGGGTGTAACCAATAGATGGGTTACCAAGGATACGACATTTCAGAACATGATGCCATCTTGTATTGAGGGAGAGAGGTTATAGCCTCCAATGACCATTTCATTTGTTATCTTCTCTTGTTATTGACATTGACAAAAGATGCTTTTTCAAAGGGGAATACATTTCTTCCCGCGGTGGGCGAACTTTCTTAGGTTGCCAGCAATCATCAGACTTTGAAGAAAAGTACGATGATGATGTGATGTATTAGAGAAATGATCTTCTTTTGAAGTGTCCTTAACGAGTTGATGACGGATAGATCTATCAACGGTCTTCATAATACACTGCAACTTCCGATTCTTCTCCAGACTGAGTTTGAATGATTATTGTATCATCTTCTAACGCATTTGGCAACATGATTGTTGTGATACATCAAACAGCCAGACCATCTCAAAGTCCAAACAAGACATTACTTTGGGTGTTACAAGGAGCTGCAGTTACTAACAGAACATCAACATCTAAAAGTGATTCTTCTCATTCCTCATAAAGCCACTGCGAATTTTGTTAACAAACTGTTTTCTTGAACTACATGCTAAATTCACTTAATCAAGTTAGATAAATTAAAGTCTGATGGCCTCCTGCACCATATTATTGTTTACATGTAGGTAATAGTAAGAGCGCTAATAAGTTGATGTTTCAAATCGACCCTTTACACAACTATGTCCTACTCTCTCTGACTGGAAGATCGACCCTTTACACAACTATGTCCTACTCTCTCTGACTGGAAAATCATGCAATGTGCAAGTGTCGTGGTAAATGGAACGTCACCAAACTGTGTATCGCACAATTATAATCATGATTATAATCATAACTATAACATATGATGAATAACAGCCATCATAATCCGAACCGATAAAATTACCCATTCATTACACTCACCAATTTTTCTGTTCATAAATTTATGACAATTAACCAGAAATATTTGTGTTTATTTATGTTACAGCCAGAGGACGACAGTGCCCACCAAGACTAAGTCTACTGTGTGCTGGAGGAGGTAAGCATTTACACCCCTTATAATCCTCAAATCATCTCCATAATCCTTAAGTCATCTCCCTGAACCCCATTGACTTCCATTGCTCTTACCGACCCCTTCTTCCCCCATCATTGAGTATTTTATCATAAATTTAAATCATTCTGAAGAAGCGACTACATTTTATTGACCCCAGTGTCATTTCATTTTCCAATTATGGTTATCATATATTTTGGAAATGTTTTACTTTTTTTGCAGTTATTCAAAACACTTTTTTCTCCTCCTTTACGGTTCAGCTTTCATATAATTCAATCTATAGCTTTCTTCTCAAATTTCAAAGTACAAAAATTACAGGTCACACATTTATTGCTTTTACAGTTCTGCCAATAGCTATTGTACGGACATTCTGATTAACTGCTGGATAATTTTTGAGGAGATTTGACTGAATAAACATGATGAAGAAAAGGACAGGTTTACATGGATATTAATTTTATGGATCGCATAGACTCTACTAATTATATCTAAGATAAATAACGCTGAATCCTAGGATAATTATTGTCTATGTCATTAATATTCTATTTAAGCGACCGTTAGGTCTCTCTGCTGGTTTTGAATGCAATAAAAATGGTTGCCATGCCAATTAGCAGAGTTTTATCTGTCAATCATATTGACTATTCTTTGCAATGAACAATAGAATGAGATTGGCCTTCGTGACGTCTATTCAAATTGACTATTATACTTCATTGATTCGAGTCAATTCAAACATCATTTGTGTCTAGATGATTTATTTTCAGCCAGATATGAATGACTACTCTTGCCTTAGCAAATAAACCTTGCAAGTCAAGGCTTCATTGTCATGCATTTAGATGAGTGACGTGGTTACAGTGCTCGAAACAATGGCACAAAGAGGTCATATAATAATGGCGCCAATCATGACTAGATATAAAATAGTTTAAACGAGATACAGAATGATATATTGAACCATTCCCAGCATGCCGTTTATTTTTTCTTGCGTTCTTATAACTAGCCTTTTGTCCATAGGTTTTTGATAGGTTGAATCCTGTCACACCGATGGCAATAACACTATACCGCAAACAGACCTAACAAAATAAAACATTACCCCCTAATACCTCATTTATGCAGCATAAATGACTCGAATCCGACTAAAAAATTACGATTCTTGTTTAAATCATTGTCTTGTAATGTCTTGTTCGGTGTGTTGCCGGTCTGTCGTCGGTCTCAATGGCATGACTGAGAAACAATTGCAAAGAGTCGGTCAGTTTGGAATCGGTTTGGCAATGTGACCAAGGCAAATGACCAAAAATTGGTCATTTTGGAATCGGTTTGGAGTCGGTTTTTACGAGATAAATGACGTTCTATTAATACATTGCAGGTCATAGCAGATATTTGAACCCATCATTGACTTTACTATTCTTTTTTTTTTACAGTTGGCAAGAGGGACGGCGGTCTGTCACAAAATACTATGAGCAAAAATGCAGAGGTAAATATATTTATTTCGTATAATCTATATGAAATTACAATATTACTTAATATTTATTTATTTAAAAATGTAGTCTGACCATTCTGCATAGACGTGAGTCAGAAAAATATTGGCGTTTACCGAAAATTTGACAAAATACATTAAAAGTCTTTCATTCATTTCATATTTCTACCAAAAAGAATCTTCTTAAGTTTCAGGTTTGCCTACAAGCATATATACAAGTATGTTGAAATACTCCAACGACCAAAACATGTAAAGAAGTAGAAAGAAAAGACAGATAGTGGTGGGGGAAGGACAGGGGTTTCACTTTGTGGTATATGAGAATTTACAATTATGCGATCAACAATGTGTGTGCAGATCGCAACCCCCCCCCCCCCAACTCCTCTGGCGACGTTCTATCCATAATCGTTTGTCGTGGTTGAGGTCTAATTTGTCTTCTTCTTGTATAATTATGTGTGGTTTAGCTTAGTGTAAATATTATGGTTACTCCTCTTGCGAATGGAAATACAAAATGTTACAAAGTACATGGTTTTGTGTTATTAGGACACTTTGATAAGAACATTAAATAATGGTAATGATCTCCATTGCACAATTATCATTAAAAATGCTTGGAAATTGTTACCTTGAGGAAGAAAAAAAAAGACCTATTTACAGGACTAATCCCCTCATTTCGTTTGCTCCTCATGTCTGTGAATCATTGTACTGCGATGGAATGTGATTATAGTTTTTTGGATCACTTTCTTGTATCTTCGACGACCACTTCTAAAATTGTCTAATTTCAAGACGTTGAAAAGGAGAAATGGATCTTTCATATGTTGTAAAAAGCTAAACAAATCAGCAATAACACTCATATTAATGACATAGGTTTATCATAATCATCTCTCACACCATGCAGGTCAAGATGTGCTCAAGATTATATCTCAAAATTTGAATGAACATTTTGTTTATTCAAACAAATATTCTTCTATTACAATCCCTGCATCTTTTATTCAATTTTGCCAAGAAGTACACGTCCGATGGATTTAGATATTCTGAATTGTCTTATTTGCTGTAAATTTGGATCTTGAAGGCATCTATCTGTAAACAAGAAGAATGCAGGTTGATATTTTTTCGTATAAGTAGGATTTGTTAGAAACATTCTTGCACGTGTATTGAAATGAAAACACATAGGTCTATAATGAACTTCACCAGCACAAGGCATCACATTTTGAAATAATACTTTTACATAAAAATCTGCCACGTTTTTATAATACAATCATGTAGTGACAATATTTCGGTTTTGTAAAGCTTTTATCACACTTTCTTTGTCTGTATGCATTTTTAAAAAGCTGTTTTTACCCCAGAATTCATCTGAGGTTGGCAAATGTACATTAATCTGTTAGTGCTGAAACAGGATTCGAACCCTGTACTCTGTGATCCGTTTTTATTTCCTTCGGCTTTGCGATCCTAGAAAAGGTCGTCCCATTGGTCCCATTGGTTGAGCAACTGTTTTGATACATCCATTAAGGGTCTTTAAAATATTTTTTTTATCGTACAAATACTTTCACTATCCGCAGTCAAAACCAATATTAAAGGTAATACAATGTGTTGGTATGGGGTCATGAATTTGGTTTAAATGAACATATTGGAAGAATATGCGATCCTACAATATTCAGTGATCGTTGACGCTGTTGAAATCGAGTCTATCCTAATATATCAAAATTGCAAAGAATCACTATCCACCCAATTTCCAAAATTTCCCGAAACTTTGTATTACCTTTAAAGCTCTCTCTCTCTCTCTCTCTCTCCCTCCCTCCCTCTCCTTTTTACTTCAAGGTTCACGCGTATGGCGCTTTCTTGAAGTATGTTTAGTAGTTGTGAACTTAGTGGAATCCTAATGAATATTTACTTTGGATAAACTGCGCGCCTTGCCCTTGCTGTTAACTAGGACGACAGTTTGCGTCATTTAACTCGGTGAAGACTAGCCCATGTCCCCGTCGGCTACAAACCCCTTCTAAAACCAGTCGGTGAATTCAAACTAACCTTCACTTGCACACAGAATATACTATTCTCAAACTGGGATGTGTTTAGGCTGCGGGTCTTCCCGTAAACTTGAACTGAATGATCATTAGCGATCGTTAAGAGTCATAGACATTTGCCTTTGAGATAACGGATGACGTAAATGTTAGTCTCTTGTCTTTCACCAACACAGGATTACACACTAGGGATATATGCAATCATTCATTCCAGATCATAGACAAATAGCTTCCCTTAACAGCCTAATTATTATTAAGGAGATAGCACATATTTTAAAGCCTTCCTGGATGTCAATTGTAGAAATGAGTCGCATAAACTAGTGCTAGTTTAGTTGTGGGGGGGGGGGGAGTATTCAGAAAAAATAAAGATATCTCATCTTCATATGATCATCTTCATCTTAAATATTTAATTCACCATCAGCAAACAGGCGTGACAATGAAACAATTATATATTTACTATATCCCACGAAAAATCATGCGCACATGATACTAGTAATAGGATCCGTAAGAAATTTGTTGCGTTTTAGAATGAAGCAATTTCGCGTTATTACTTTTACCGCGCATTATGACGTGATTTTGTTTGTGGTAGGGGAGGGGAGGGGGAGAGAGAACCAGGATAGAAGTTACAGACTGAATAGGGGACATTTAGATGCTAATAACAATCCTTCGCAGACGTCGATTTGCGTCCTCTCCTATTCTCAGCAAATTATCTCTCGTTAAAATAGCACAGAGAGGCACAAACTAAGAAAACACATAGTAGATGAAGACGGTTCCGAGAAGAGAATATAAGAAGGTCATTACTGTCACTGTTGCATGTCACTACTATATCCACGCGCATGTAAAGCTCGCTGGATCAACATCACAGAATTATGTACCCCTATTCACATTGTGACGATCTTAATCAGTGAAACAAGTGATCTTGTGCATTGTTTTAAAACAAATCTTTCTCTCTTCTTGGAAGAGCTTGAGTGCAAACTACCGCGAACTGACATTTGAAAACTAAATCGCCTTAGACGTTTTCATTGTCCTGAATATTTTCACTGCTTTCTTGCCTGTGAGTTCCATGTGCACATTGCTAATCGTCCGGATACGAGGAGGTCTTATGACAAGTTTGAAAATTGTTATGATTTTTTGAAATTTCATGAATTATCCTTATTCCTCCACAAATCGAGATGAACGGCAAATAGATGTAATTCGAGATCAATTTCTACCGCGAGGAAAGATGGCGACTCGATTTATTCATGAGCTTATGCTCTCCTGGAACCAATTATCGCTTTCGTGATGTTGATGACAGTTGAATAATATTGTTGATTTGTTACAATATCTTCTTAATTCGAAACAACATTGACACTGAAAAAAGGGATATAAGACGAAACGTCAAAGTCCGTGGTGCCTGCTATCTCATAAATCCCTTAAAACAGAGTTGATTGAGTAGGTCTGTATTTGTATAGGATATAATGTGAATAATTTGAGAGGAAATAAAATATGTTACTATTATGGGAAAGGGGTACTTGTAATTCACACCGTTTGTTATTATTTTCCTAGTTTGGCTGAATCTCCAGCTGACATCACTTTAAAGTCAGTATCAAACGGAATCCCGCATTTCAGGTGAACAACCTGCCTGTTACCGAATCGATTTAAAAAAGCTTTTAGAACATCTCTTGTAGTGACACCTCCAGCTAAAGAACTGAATACACTTCCAACTTCAAATTATTTGTGTAACGGTGACATTTCATTTGCTATTAGACGGTGTCACAGCACTTTGAATGAGTGGTCATTTCAGGGCCAGAACAGAAAGGGATTGAAGTCGCAGAAGAAGACGGGAAAAACTCTGAATGGAAATTCGGTTGAACCTGGAGAGAAGTTGAGAGCGCGTAATTTGGTCGTCTTCCGTCCTGACAAGCAGCTGCTTTCCCATGACATGACACATGGGACGCAGATGGAAGCATAATCTGAGAAAGATGCGTTCTCTTTAGACAAACCAAGTCTTTAAAGTAAAGAGGGTTTCCATTTATTCGTTAAGGGATACCCTGAGTATTATTGGGACGATGACTTCTTTTTATAAGCGTGAATGCGTTCGGTTTCCTTCCCTCTCCCAAGAGCTAACTTAATCTTAAACTGAAATGAATGCTATGGCTGTTCATAATGACTAAAAAAAGAAACAATTTTATTTAGTGTATGTTTCAAGTTGACATCCTTTGTACCAATGCAGACATAGATGATATGGGAGGTCATTCAAAAAGGGTTACTGGGTAATATTCTCAGGTCCATTTTAGTGTCCAGATTATTAAACAGCAATAGCGGTTGTTGGTATAAAAGCAAATCATTTTCAAAGTTCAGTTCTTCCTTTAGCAGCACTGGAAAACATGAAGGATGGATGGAAAGAGAGGAAGATGAAGGGAGAAAGAGAGAAACCCGAAAGAGAGTATGAGGAGTAATATGATATACGAACACTAAGCAAAGGGATGAAGTTTGTTCTTGTTGATTTAGGTTGCCATGGTTTCATAAATATGCTACATTTAATTTCCCCTCTAACAGAGGATCACAAGTTGAATGCAACTCTTACACCTAAAACGTGCTTTTCCGTTACCTCACCTCATTTTAGTGGGAAGTGGCAAATAATGCTGAATATATTTGCGAGAACCCTAGCGGCCATCAATTAAAATACATAAAAGGTCGATGTACCACGTATCCTTGGTTCACTTCAGATCCAAGATTCAGACTTCTAGCTAGCTACATTTCAGTGACATAAATATAACACGATCTTCAAGATATTTGATGTGAACAGTACATAACAACGTACTTATTAGATATTTCACTCGATATACACTCAAGGGTGTTAATAGGTGTTAATAAATTCTTTTCAAATAGAGCAATTTACGAAGTGTGTTCGGTCTCACTTTTGTATTGAATATGAAATTCATCACCGAGCCGCATGGATGAAAAAAAAAGACTACCCACGCTTTTAATATAAATATGAAAACA